ATGTGGGTCCCGCCCCGTGCAGCTCCCTGGCCTCCATTCCTTTCTCTGCAGTCTGAATGCCACCAGGAGTGTCCTGATCCCCCTCCAGACCTTTGCATGTGCTCCCCTCGGCTTCAGTGACCCTCACTCATCTGCCAGATCTCCAGATCAGACTTGCCGGGGCAAGAGAGAGTCTAAACTGCAACTCTAGCCTGGCTTCTTGGATTTGTGGGACCACCCCCACCCCTAGCCCACTCAACCCCTGTCCTTGGCAATTGGAGTTCCTCTTGCCCAACCCCATCTGCTGGTCAGAACCACATGGAGAAGGGCTTGGGTGGGGCTAGCGGTGCTGTCTGGGGCTTAGGGTCTCCCCTCCAGTGTAAGATCCTGGAATTCTCCGGGTAGAAGGGTGAGTCAGAGGCGAGCCAGTGGGGTCCTGGCCTGGGTATACTTTTTCTCTGCTTACAGCCTTGAACCTGTGGTGCAGAGGTGCCCTGGCGCCATCCATGGCCTTACTGCCTGCTGACATTTAAGGAGCAGCCTGGCAGCCAAAAGAGCCCCTGCAGGGAGTGGTGGGGCCACCAGACCTGCCTTTGTGTCTTGGGTCAGTGACATAGATTTGGTGTTTTGATGTCCACGTGTCCCTGAGATGTATTATTGGATGAAATACCTTTTTTGGAGTGCAGTCCCTGACCAGCTGATAGTCCACATGTTGGATTTTCATGAGATATTACTACATCCCAAGCAAGCACTGTCACAACACTTTGGAGTTGTTGCCTCATTCAACTCTCACGGCTCTGCAGGTCTACATTAGTTTTTAATTTAGATGAGAAAGATGGTCTCCAGCAAAAAAAAAAAAAAAAAATGTAAGCCCTACTGGGGGCCTGCTGATGAACACAGCCTCCACGGGGAGATTCAGGCACTTGTCCCTCTCAGCTGTCCCTCTCTGTGCCCTGGGTGGCCAGCTGCAGTCACTAGGAGGCCACTACCGCATGGCCACCTCAGGTCAGGCTCTACCAGTGTGCACATGTGTGCACGTGAGTGTGTCTGCTGGACATTCAGGATGGACCGGCAGGGACCAGGGCTGGAGAAGTCAGCGTGTGAATGTCTGGGCTCGAGTGAAGGGTTAATTTAGTTTAATTGTGTAGAATGTGGTATAGCCCAAGACCTAGAGCTGTTGGTTGGGGAAGGGAAGGAATAGTCATCTCCCAAAGCAAGGGAGCACAGGCAGTTACAAGAGGGTAAAGGTGTCCCCACACAGCCCCCCACCTCCTTCTGCCTCCCTCCACTCACACCCAGGCACTGGGGAGGTGGCCTGGCCAGCAGCCTCAGTCCCGATAGCATCTGTTTACTTCCCATGATCCTCTCTTGTTCTGGCCAGAGGAAATCACAAAGGAAGTGCGGTGTCACAGGTAAAGGTCACAACACACCTGCTCCTGCCGGGTCCAGTGACGCTCCGTTTCTACTGCTCTGGCAGTGCCTGGGTCTCCTTCCCAATCTCTATCCCCTCCTCTGAGCCCTTGTGTGGCCAGGTTGGGGTCCTGTGGTTCAGCCTGTCACTGCTTCTCTTGATGGCCTGGCCCCTCATCACTCAGGCCTGGCTGGTGGACTCTCTCATCATTCCCATCTTACAGAAGCTCAGAGACTTTAAGGAGTGAGCTGATTCAAATGCGAGGCCAGTGCAGTGGCTCACGCCTGTAATCCTAGCATTCTGTGGGGCGACGGTGGGTGGATTGCTTGAGCTTAGGAATTCGAGACCATCCTGAACAAGAGTAAGACCCCCATCTCTACTAAAAATAGAAAAAATACAAATAAAACCTACCTGGGTGTGTTGATAGGTGCCTGTAGTCCCATTCACTTGGGAGGCTGAGGCGGGAGGATTGCTTGAACCCAGGAGTTTGAGGTTGCTATGAGCTAGGCTGGCGCCACTGCACTCTACCCAGGGTGACAGAGTGAGACTCTGTCTCAAAAACAAAACAAAATAAAACAAAACAAAAAACCCACACCAGATCTTAGCTCAGGTCTTCGGATGCCAGTGTTAATCCACCCTTCCTAGTTTTTAGGACCTGGAATTGGGGCAGGGGACATATGCTGGAAATTTTTAAATGCCTCGGTACAATTCCACAAGTATTTGTTGAGAACCTAAAAACGGCAGCTGTAATAATGATGATGGGATGATTATAGCAAAGGCAGTGCTCCTGTTACTGTGAGGTCAGGTCACTACAGATCTGGCCTTGAGCTAACATTTTGTCACAAATTATGTCATTTCATATGCACAACACCCTTAGGAAGGATGAAACTAACCTCGGAGGCGTGACAGAGAAGGGTCTGTGGCTCACCCAAAGCCACAGGGTGGTCAGTGCTGGAGCTGGGATGTGAACTGGCGGGCACCAACCACTGTGAGGCCCTAGAAAAGCCCCATGGTAGCCACCTTGCACCAGTGGCTGGGTCTCCGTGCGGTAGGACTGGGGTCAGAGGGACACTGAGGAAGAGGCAGAGATCGGGCAGGTGTTCCCAGGCCCAGCTGCTGCGCTGAGCTTCCTGGGCAAGTGGAGCTGGGCTGTGGCCTATGGAGGGCAGAAGGCCTCTGACATGTGAGGACAGGTGGGAGGGGCAGTGGGGCCTTCCAGGGAACAAAGTCCTGCTTGGGTTGTTTTTCTGAAGAATGAATTTGCTTCTAAGTGGCAGAGAAAAAGGGTGACTTGAAGGCATCAAACACGACATCTAGAAAGGTTTCTGGATATATAGACCGAATATCCTTTACTTAGACGCCCCTGAGATGATGATTTCTTGAGAAATCACTGTATTCTGAGCAAGAACCTCTGCACATTGTCCCACGCAGTTCCCACAACTCTGAAGATCTTTCACTCTAGGTGAAAAGGCAAGGCTCTGAGAAGTCACTTTGCTCATGGACACACAGCTGGGACACAGCACGTCTCAAACTTGAGTCTCAAACATGTCAAATGTTTGTCCTGTTTTTCCAAAACCTGTGTGTGACCCCCCAGTTCTTTGGCCAGGACCCTCTGTTCTAGGAGTAGGCTTGGAGGGAGCCTCGACTTCCAAGGAAAGGGGTAAGAAAGTGCAGCTGTTCAAATGCAGTAGAGCGGAGGTGCCCTCCCCTGCTCAGGAGCCTGCGCTGGCTCCCCAGCACCTGCAGGGTACAGTGCAACAGGCTGAGGCCCAAGCAGGTGGCATGCCCTCCAAGGCCCTGTGGGCTTTAGCTCCCAGTGCCATTCCCTATTGTTCCCGCCACATCCCCTGTCCCCTGTCATCACCGGGACCACCTTAATCACCTGCTTCCTCCTCTATGCCCTGCACATATGCTCGCCCGGGTGGATTCTGCACAATTCCCTGAAAGTTTCTGCTCCCTTCATCTCCAAGCCCAGTCAGCGTGTCAGCCATTAAGAGAAACTGTGTCTGGAGAGATGTGGTCTTCCCATGGCTGGCTCCTTTCAGAAACGTCCCTCCTCATCTTCTGAAATGCATCTGTCTTTGCCCACTCACTTGTCCGTCTGTGCCCTGGCTTCATTTCCTCCAAGGCGATGACCTATCTGAAATGGTTTTCTGTGTCTGCCGTTCCCTCTACACTGAGAGCTTCCCGAGGGCAGGGAAAGCCCTCCCTGTTCAGCACCGTGTCGTGGTATCCTGGGGGCCCAGAGCAGTACCTGCCACATACTGAGTGATCGGAAAATGCCAGTTGGGGTGTTTGGACAAGGATGTGGGAGCAGCCTTCGGGGAGCTAGGCTTTGCACACATGGCTCAGGGCAGACTGGGGAGCACTTTATCCCTGGATTCCAGCCAGGAGCTGTCACGGGCGGGTCAAGTCTCCCCAGACTTCAAGACACGATGTGGAAGCACCACCCTCCCCCTGGCAGAGACAAAGCCAGGGGCCCAGCAGCCAGCTGCCATGTTTGAACGTGGAGGAGGAGCAGATGAGCTGGGGCCGCCCTGGGCTTTGTGCTGGGACAGGGATTACAAAAGGAGAGACAGAGACTTCTGTAGGCGACATCCTCGCGGGGCAGAGTATCATGCCGCAAACACTGGGCATTCAATCCCAGGCCCCGCTGCCTCTCTGTAGTGGCTACAGGGTCCGGAAGTGGGAAGGTTTCTGGCACTGACCCAAGGACAATATTGTTTTGGTTACAAAAATAATTGGTGCTTGGCATTAATTTTAGCTAATTATGCCTCCCTCTCCTGACAAGGCTTTCATGTTTGGGGTTGTTGTTTTTTGTTTCTTATTGTTATTTTCTGGCTGTGTCCTCCGTCTCCCTCAATGAAGCAATCTGAAAAAGAAATAGTAATTTGTCTTCATATGGCACACGCAGCCTGGCTGCTAGCAGGAGGGGCCGGTGGGTGGGTGGGGGGCTGAGCTCCCTCATCTGCTCTCTCGGAGGAGATTCCACCTCTATTCTGAGCGGGAGCTGAGCTGAGATGAGCCCAGCACCCTGACAAGGCGGTGGCACAGTGGACACGCCTCCTGGGCTGGGCCAGGCAGAGGAGACTCCTTCCGCAGACGGAGAGCTGAAGGGGAGCCGGGTGCTCAGGGCTGGAGTCTTCTGTGTAACCGACAGCGGGAGCAGCGCTGGGAGGATGGATCTCACAGCATCTTTGGGACCAGAAGCCTGAAGACAGGCGGTGCCCTGTACCCCTCCCAGGGCTGGTGGGCAGGAGGAGGAATTTCCTCAGGGACCTCTGCACTGCTTAGAGAAGCTGCCTGGTGCACAGTCCAGACCAGGCAAGGTTTGGGTGACAGATCGGAAAAATGGAGACTCGCACAAGTGCAGCTGGAGCAAGGACTGCCCTGGTACTAGCTCCGTGACAGGAGGCGTCCACACCCACCTGGGAGTCTGACTTGATTTTGCCGGCAAGAGGCAACCAGCAGAGGTTCACTTTCTTGCCTCCTGCTTTTTAGGAGGCCATCTGTAGGGAGAGTGCCAACCACCTCTCACCCTTACAGTCCCTGGGTGGAATTTGCAGGCAGCCACCATGGTACAAAATGTAATTCTAGTGTTCTTCCGCAGACGGCTGAGCCAAAGACCGGCTGTGGAGGAGCTGGAGAGAAGGAATATCTTGAAACGTAAGTAGCTGCTGCGTCCTCCTGGGGTTTTCCCGCACGTGTGCTGAGGCCGTGAGGAGCCTCAGCTCTCATAACCCAGCCCATCTCTTCGGACTGAGTGCGCCGGCTCCCTTAACTCTGAGCAGCTGAACATTTCTGAAAGCAAGCCCCTGAGAAAAAGTTGATAAATCCGGAACCATTCCTTTTAAAAGACACTTAAGAAAAGCTCCCCTTCTAGCATAAAGTCCGTCCTGTTTCCCGGGTCATTTAGTCAGTCCTGTAGATCTAAGGGAAAGGAATCGTCACCCCTGTTGCATGATGGGTCTCCAGCAGATTTCCCTGGAAGTTTTGCATGGGGTTTCCTAATGGCCCCCAAGATCATAGGCGAGGCATGGATGGTGGTGTCGTGAATTCTAACCGAGGAGGACATGCCCTGTGATTCTTACACTCAGAAGGAAGGAAGCAGTCAGGGCAAAGAAACCGGGAAACCGACCTGTGGCTCCACAGTTGAGATTCCAGCACCCAGTGCCCCCGGGCCCAGCACCACCTTGAGCTTCCCCCACTGGGCTCAGGGTTGTAGTCTATGCTGTAGGCAGGTGTTCCCGAGAAATCTCTGTGGTATGGAGTGTAGACAGAGATATTCCATCCGGTCATGTGTGCTGCTCACAGCTGTTCCCGAGTAATCTCTGTGGTATGGAGTGTAGACAGAGATATTCCATCCGGTCATGGTGCGGCTGCTGGTGGGTGTTCCCGAGTAATCTCTGTGGTATGGAGTATAGACAGAGATATTCCATCTGGTCATGGTGTGGCTGCTGATGGGTGTTCCCGAGTAATCTCTGTGGTATGGAGTGTAGACGGCGATATTCCATCCGGTCATGGTTTGGCTGCTGGTGGGTGTTCCCGAGTAATCTCTGTGGTATGGAGTGTAGACAGAGATATTCCATCCGGTCGTGGTG